ATCGACGTTTCACACGTACGACCACAGTACCTACGTCCTCGCCGATTCACTCAGCGACAACGGGACTCCTCCTCGTGCCTGCGCGTGCGGCGGTGTTATATAGTAATCTTATCGCTGTCTCAGCACATATGCTTCACTGACCTATGTCAATAGTTTACAATTTAAAATGTTCCCACCTCTATTACATATATGAAATAATATTTTGACGACTGTCTACAATATACGACAGTACCTTAAATGTAACAGTTATAACGATGAACGCGATATCTACGAAATATCGATATTATTAGTCTCAATACCTAGTCAATATAATGGGCCATATTTACCATGACTTGGGAACTTTAATATTTAATAATAACTATTTATTATTATTTTAATTTTTCAAAAAATACTATCGAAATTATTTAGTTTGTTTAAATTTTTTAAGGGGGATAGTTAAAGTTCTGTAGTTTCGGTAACTTTTTAGTTATTTGCTCTAAACATATTAGTTCTCATCCATACTTGCTTAATTCGAATAAATCACACGGATATTATATTTTTAACTGCTGTCGGAAATTGTGTGTATTGAAGTGTATGAAACAAACAACTAAATTCCAGGTCCATTACAGTAATAGTATTTAAATAAGATTTTTCCGCCCGTGGGCAACACAATTTGAAGCCTCCCACTTTGCTCATGAATAATTTTTCCTATTTCAGTACTTTTACACACTATTTAATATTCACACAAAATCAAAAATAACTGTCTTATGATTACTTTACAGTATGTCCCAGAAGTCCCATATCACCCTTATTATCTCCATGGAAAATTAATATATTTACAGTACTAAGTATGGAAATTCTGATTAAATAGCATAATATTCGATTTTTTTTATCAAAACTTCAATAATTATCAAAAATTTTAAGGAAAATAAGTTTTTTAAATTTTCAAGATAGCCATTTTGTTCATCGTATTTTTTAAACCAGTTCAAAAAAAAAAATGTTTAAATGTAATGATAATTGCCCAAGTTAAAGCTAATTAATATTTTTAATTTTAACCCAAAAATCAGTGTGATTGTAATAATTATCATGCTAATCGTATTTTTTAATTCCGTATGCATAGGTAACACAACTATTATTTTTAGAAATTCAAAATAACAATTAGCTCTAACTTGGGAAATTTTCATTACATTTTAATATTTTTTTTTTTCTGAACGGTTTGAAAAAATACGATAAACAAAATGGCTACCTTCGAAATTTAAAAAACTTATCTGTCTAAAAAAAAATTTTGATAATTATTGAATTTTTTTAAAAAAAAATCGAATTTTATTCTATTCAATCAGAATTTCAATACTTATGACTGTAAAAAAAACTGCATTTAAATATATTGATTTTCTATAGAGATACTAAGAGTGATACGGGACTTCTGGGACATACCTACTGTATATTGTAGGTAATTATAAATTATATACATATTATAACAAACTTCTATGGACGACTGAATTGTGAGGATACCTATTTTATTGTAAAATAATAAAGATGGTATTTCTTTAGTATACTCCTATATGGTTAATGTATAATTATAGAGATTTGTGATAACCAATTTTGCATTGAGTCAAAAAAGAGATAATTAAAAAAAAAATTTCACTTTTCCAAATAGATATTCCGTGGTTGTAGGCAACTTCTAAAGTGTACTATTATATATCTATGATAAGATCAGGGTTTGTTGTTGATATATAACGTGTTATAGGTACCTAATGGATATTGTGATATGATTAATTTTTAATTTATTATAGGTACGGTACTTATTATATTTCAGTTTTTTTTTAGTACCATAGAAATGCATATAATATGTGTTATACCTAGACTAACATACTGTCTCCGCTCAGAATCGTTTTTCTTATAAAATGATATTATATCATTGAATTCAAATTTAATGCCATCTATTATACAGTGACCCACTTGTAACCTACTGTACAGGAGAGCATCTCTTTTATTTTATAGTTTGGCCATTATAGTTCTTGTAGGCAGTTTATAATTTATATTTGTCTTTATCTTGAATATACAAAATCGTGGATCTTAAGTAAAGAGAGATTATATGAGCACAGGTTTACAACTGAAATTGTGTAAATTTTTATGTTTTTGAAAATATAAAATCTGAATATTGGTACTTACTTAAAAATCAGAAATCATAGAACGTGATAGTTACTAAATAACCCTTTATAAAAATTAAAAAAAGAAATTTTTATAATAATATGAATTAAAGAATAATACACTCAGTGGTCATAATAATATGACATGGAAAATTTAATAATGATGAAAATAGTAATTTGTTCTTTTACCACTGTGGTTAAATAAAGTTATCCATATTTATTATATTGTGCCTTATTCAGGGATTGAAATAAAAATAAAAATGTTTAATTTTAATTTCAATTCACTTATAAATACTTATTTGTTATCTTTTCTTTATTTCAATATAAAGGAGATTATTAAATGGAGGTCGCTCTGCTATACAGTAGATTACAAGTGGGTCACTGTAATGGATGGTGTTAAATTTGAATTCAACGATATAATATCATTGTATAAGAAAAACGATTCTGAGCGGAGACAGTATGTCAGTCTAGGTATAAGACATATTATATACATTATACATATCTATGGTACTAAACCAAAATTTGACCTATAATAGGTAGGTACCTATAATAAATTCCAAAATTAATCATATCAAAATATCCATTAGGTATTTATAACGCGTTATACATCAACAAAAACCGTGATACTATCATAGATATATAATAGTACACTTTAGAAGTTTCAAGTACCCACGAAAAATATTATTCAATCACAACAAAATAACTAAAATAGTTATTCTAGGTTTTTTAATATGTAATTTCGTCCAAATTTGAATTTAAAATGTCTGTAAAAAATTACTGTGTTATATATTTTTTAGATTTTTTGGTTACAGTATGAACTATTTACGAGAACCTTTGTGTTGAATTTGCAATCCTTAGCTATAAAAACTGAACATTTTATAATTTATTAATCACAATGATTCATCAATTTCAAGATTTTGATCAATTTTGTCAAAATTCGATCTTTAAATGCTTATAAAAAAATATCAAATAATATCAGTATTAAAGTCAAAACCGAAACCGGAAATAATTGGATACCGGTATTAAAGTCAAAACCGAAACCGGAAATAATTGGATACCAGTATTAAAGTCAAAACCGAAACCGTAAAAAATTGGATACCGATATTATAATTTAAAACCGAAACCGGAAAAAATTGCATACCGGTATTATAATTTAAAACCGAAACCGAAAAAAATTGGATACCAGTATTTAAGTCAAAACCGAAACCGGAAAAAATTGGATACCGGTATTAAATTCAAAACCGAAATCTAAAAAAATTGGAAACCGTTATTTTTTTTTCAATTGACATATTTTAAAATACGTGAATCCATTAATATGTATGCATAATTAATGCTCATAATAAAATTGAGATCATGATTAAAATATTCATAAGCATTTCATTATTCACCAAATTATTAGTTGCTTTAAGTAATGATATAAATTATTATATAAATATTTACTTTGTTTATAAGACAATTATGTATTATTCCATAATTATTAATAAAATGCTACAAAAGAAAAAATCTGAAAAAGGAAGAGGTTTGCATCAAAAGTAAGATAGTCTAGTGATGAATGTCTACATATCTTTAAAGTTTAAACTGTTCTAATTTTGTTCTAACTTGTAGGTTACTTATAGCTTGTAATTTTTAGAATAAAATTACAAAATCACTCCTATTAAAACATTTCTCTTATTTGTATCAAACATTCAAACATTTTATCAAGTAATTCAGTAGAATAAAACCATTCAATTATAATTTCAAGTCTGCTTGGAAATCCGTTTTTAAAAATGTAAAAACCGGTATACAAAATAAAAAATTAAATTTTTAAATTTTAATACTGGTATTGAAAAATTAAAACTAAACCGAAAAATTTAGAAACTGGTATACAAAACCGAAACCGAAACCGAAATTTCTTTATACCGGTATTGCTAAGTTGAAACCGAAAAATTTAGAAACCGGTATTCAAAACCGAAACCGATATCGAAAACCGAAACCGAAATTATTTCAATCGGTTTCAAACCCTGCCTAAAAGGCGATGACAGACAAAATAAAAAACACACATCATTGAAAAATCCATACATTCATTGTTCCACTTTGAATCTAAAAAACATATTATAATATTATAATTCAATTATACCTTTACTGTTGCACGGTGTCGATTTAATTGTATACAGATTTTTTATTAGATTTTAAACGTCCTTTTTTCGATTGAAAATATAAATTTTACATTTAACGATTTAAATTTTGATTTCTAACTACGAGAAACCTATCGTCGTTCCAGCATCCATATTTTTCGATATGCAAGTCTACGAGACCCCAATAAAAAAATGAAATATTAGTTAGGTGTTTCGTATTACTTACATTGCTACACATTATGAACAATATTATAGTTAATAGACCAATGGGCTATTGTTGAATTAAAAATTTAAATCATACATTTTTTTTATTTTTTAATTGATTTGGATATATAAGTTATTATAAAACAATTATAAACTATCGATTTATCGATTCAAATTTGAAATTTGAATAACGTTGAAATAAATGTATTTCACTTGATGTTTTTGATGATTTCTAATGATTTTTATAGATATTTAAATCGAACTTTGAAATAATTTATTTCAAGCCAAGGAACTATACTGATTAATTAATACTTTTTGGTGGACTATTTTTAAAAGGAAACTATATTTCAATATACATTTTTATGACTTAAGTCAACTTGAAGTGTATGTTGTAGACGATAACCAAAATTGGAATGTATGGAAATCACAATGTCCAATATTTTCCACTATTTAGTGACATAATTAAGAAGAATATTTAATTATATTAATTGATCCATTCACACGATACTCGATGGATATATTTTTAAAGCAAAATACTAAAATATAAGATTTGATGTCGTCCGACTTACGATATCAGTTACACGAATCACCTTCGAGAGATATGGTCACGCCACCACGTCATAGCTTGCTCTACACTATAGGCGAAAGCCGCCACTGTATAAAAGAACGTTCTGATGCTGCGTTCCGGCATAACGCAATTTTTGTGCAAATACAATATTCTGTGAGTATTTAGTTGAAAAGAAACTACATTTATTTGATCTTTATATTATTTTAAATTTTAGTGTTTTATATTTTAAATTTTATTTTTTTTTTGTCTACTTTCAGTTTTCACTTTACTCCTCAAAAAAACCAACCAAAAACCAAAAATGGGCGCTGAAAAAGTAACCATGAACATCGTCGTCGTCGGACAAGTCCAATCTGCCAAGTCTGTCAAGTCTGTGGCCAAAGCCACAACCACCACCAACCAAATGATGGTGAGTTAACAATTCTGTGAGGATTTTTAATTTGGAATAATTGTGGTCTTGTATTTTTTTCACTGTGGCAATATTTGCAATATTGTTATTGTGCTTCAATTTTAACTCATTGTTGTGGACATGCGTTAATTGGTATATTTATTTAATTTTTCGCAAGGTATATAAGCTAAATCAGTCGTATAATATTCATTTTTATATCATGCACGTCATTAAAATGTATATATTTTAAAGACGTGCATGATATAAAAATGAATATTATACGACTGATTTAGCTTATATACCTTGCGAAAAATTAAATAAATATACCAATTAACGCATGTCCACAACAATGAGTTAAAATTGAAGCACAATAACAATATTGCAAATATTGCAACAGTCAAAAATATAGTTTGTAATAATAATTGACTATTTACTAAACATTTAATCTTTTGAAAAAAGTTTCGAAAATATATTTTTTCTACCTCCTAATAGTACTAAAATTGACTAACAAGATGTTAGTATTTTCGCACACATATAGTCATAATAAGCCGTCAGTGTTGTAATGTATTTTAGTAAATGTATTTAAATACTTTTATAGTATTACTTAAAACTTTTTTAATCAAGTATTAGGAAGTATTTTAATACAGTGTTGGTATAACTATAGGTATTTGAAAATCAAATAATTTTTTGTAAAATATACTTTTAAAAATTCAAAAAAATTGTCACAGTTCAGGTTGTTATTTGATAATTATTAGGTATATTATTTTAAATATAATAAATTAAAATCAAATTATTAAATTTCCGGTTTAATTAATATTAAATTTTATAAATTATAAATTGTTTTATTTATTTTCGTTTTTTGGTATAAAATTAAGAAGGTATATACCTAGTATAAAGTTTTAATGATACTTAAATGTTGGTATCAATACTTTGTATTAGTATAATTAATAAATGAATAATTAATTATTCTTACCTGTACGATTAAATGAATAAAACTAAAAGTATATGCCAAGATGCCATTGCATTTCCAATAAAGTGAGATATTTCTATTGCTTTTCAAATTATCATGATAATATTCCTTAATATTTATTTAAACTAATAGGTATTATATGAGTTCATATTGTATAATAGATACCATTCCGGTGAATATTTTTTTTTTATTCCGTCATTTTATATATTATGATATATACCTTATATATTATATGTAATATGTATGTATATAACCATTTATTATGCATATTATATAATACTATAAGTATTCATACTCAATAGTATAACGTATTTGTTTGATTGTTTCATGACTGCGTAAACTTATAATTTTTAGATATTTCAATAAATTCAGAAATAATTATATTATAATAATTATATTCATAAATACTATTCTTTGATTTAAATTTTTTATGCCCTTACTATTCCATAGTATGCCTTTAACAAAACCAAATTAAATATAAATATAAAAGTGACGTTAATGACGAAAACGTACCTATATTATATCTAAGCGTGAGACTAAATAAAATTAATTATGTATACGTAAATATAATATTGTACCCAAAATATTTTTTTAAGCCTCTTACAGTGGATGTAATTAACCTTTTTTTAAAAGTAGACATTATGTAAGCTGCGGCAAAACAAAATTTAACACTTTTCAAACTGCGGCCATTTATTTGATATGCCTATACCATTGATTAAATATACCTACTTAATATCTATATATCCTATACTGTATATACATATCGATACGATAACATAAATTATAATATATATATACCTATGTGGCTATGTGATATTATTTACGTACACATATCGTTTAATTAATTTTGTTATGTTACATACAAATTGGTGTGGTAAATTCAAATGTATTTTTAAGTGTATACTTAGTACTTCATACTAGTGAGTTAGATGTCAGTAGAAGTAGTTTAAGAAATTTAATATTTATTTAACATGGAATTCACAACAATGTTTAGCCAGAATGGCAAACAATATTTGTATAGTCTCGAACTTCAGTGATTATACAATATGGGATTGCTCAAAATATAAAATATGAATATGCAGTTACAAATTGGTCTTAAGCAACAAAAATACATAATTATATTTAAATAATAACACATAAGTTAATATTATGTAGGTACTTATATATTATAATTTATATTATCGTATCGATACTTATATAATGTATACACGTATAGTCCTTTAGGTATATTAAATAAATTGGGGCAGTTTGTATAATGTTAAATTTTTATATGTCGTAGTTAACATATCGAATTTTAGAAAAATTTAATTTTGCCCCAGCTTTTGGCCATCTCCCGTGGTCACTATGAATAATGATTTTGTTCGTATGAAAAAAATTAATTTTTAATAATTTAATATAATTTAGTTCTTATGTAATAATTATTTAACTAACCGTTTATCTGCAAAGGTAAATACGATCATGCACACAATGTTATATATCTTAATATTATAATATTGTATTAATTTATTATGTTTTGTATTGTTTCAGAGCTGTTAAAAATTCATCAAGTCTCCATAAATCTCAAATTCAAAAATGCCATAGTCCTAATCTCCAAACAGCACATCATATAATGATAATATATCACTTATTGTGTGTTGATATCGCAAAATAAATCTACTTTTCTGTCGCTCAATTTATTTGTTTTTCACTTACCTACTCTAAATATGTAACCTTTTGACTAGTTTTTGACCAGTTAAGACTAGAGAATATTTATAAAACAATTTATAGAATGGTGCATAATATATTTATAATTTATATTAATTGTATCACCAGCATTTAGAACTATAGACAGTAGGTACCCAATAAGCCTTATCTTTGATTACAATATCAACAAACCAATTCACAAATTGTAAAGTGTGAGCTTGATATAAAAAAACATAATATGTTTCTATACTTAAAATATTACATTTTTATGATGTTCTGAGTATGTTGTAGATACAATAAATGGTAACGAACAATTTTATACAAATTTTAACATAACAACAGAGTTCATTTTAGTTGTAATGTATCGACAAATTTTTTTTACTATTTATAGTATTACGTATTTGATCGGTTATACATACCAAAGTTTAAGAGAAGCGCAATAATATCAGAGTTACCTCATCGATTCTGTTTGAAACGTTTACTGTCGCGTACGATTTATGGAATTTACCTATTTTGATATATTTATTATACATACTTATATATCTAATCAGTGTATAAATCACAAAATGTTTTTTTTTAAATACTTATAAGTTACACGCAGTGTTGGGAAAAGAAAACCAAAAAATCATCTGGACAAGATAACAGATAATTCATTCAAAATTTATCTAGATAAAGATAAAAATACAAATACATTTATCTAGATACAAAAATAGATAATTTGTTTTTAAATTATATTATAAATATTGTAATTTATTAGTAATTACCTTCTAGTTGGGTAATATTTATTAATTAATAAATCCTTAATGTAATTTATCAACTAAAATAATAGGTATACAATTTTAATTTTTAATACAACTTGAATAAAAATAAAATAACAAAATAAAACTGACAATATTTCAGTAAACATTTCTTTTTTTAACTATAATAATATTGGAATTTGGAATCACCACTTGGTTCTCGTAAATTTTTTACTATTTCAGTATTTAAAAATATTCTTATTATGATATTATTTATCTAGAAAAATTATCACAGATAAGTGATAACCATTACATTTATCTAGTTGAGATAATTAGATGATTTAATTATTTTTATCTAGATAATTCCCAACACTGGTTACAAGTAACATTAGATACTCAGTTTAAGATTAACGAATTCGTTAGGGTTAGACACAGTTAATTAAATCATAATGTCATACCCACGAAAGAATCATCCAATTAATAATTTATTTGAATAAAATGTTATCTAAATAATCGTCTAAAAAAAATTTTATTCGAATAACGCCCTACTCTGATACAAACTAGTAACTACTAACTAGTCATGGGTATCCTTGTTTTACATTTTCATTCTTTTGCTATAAAAATTGAACATAATATTTTAAATATTTAACTACAAAATAATTGGCAGATTTTAGAGATATTGATGAATTTCATCTACATATTTTAATCTTTAAACAAACTAATAAAAAAAAATCTTGCATATGGATCTTTAAAATTTTTCAACTGAAATTAAAGCAACTTATGAGAAAACTTGTACATTTTCGAGCATGTCAACCCAATTAATAAATTGTATTTTATAGTACAATATTTTAACATTGTAGATGTTATAGAAAAAAAAAATAAAACAATTGGAAATGTCTATAAATAACGTAAAACGATACAAAATATTGGTGTCCAATGTCTAACTTTAATCACTCATAATTTTTTTAATTGCTTTCTAGTATACTTCTTTTTTGTTAAATATAGGAAATCTTAAGAGGAATCTTGTATTAAATTTTCAAATCTTAGATAGGTCTATATAATAAATATTATAGACAATTTTATATTAATTTCTAATTCAAAATAATTTGAAAATTTTTGAAATTTTGATGAATTGTGTAGAAATTCTAACTTTATCCGCACATAAAAAAATATTGTGTATTCACGCTAAAAAACAAAAAAATATCCACGCAATATCCAATATGTGGGCCATTTACCATGACTTGCAATCTTTAATATTTAATAATAACTACATATTTTTATTTTATTGTTCATAAAATACTATCGAGTTTTAGTGTGTTGAATTGTAATGACGTAAAAATACGATAAATATAAAAACGACTCATGTCGGTAATTATATTAAAATTATGCTATTATACCTTCCTCCAGGTGTTTGGACGGATCTCGAGATCGTGCATTCGAGAATTAGATCAAACGCACTGTAGGGTATTTTGATGATTTGAAGGACCAGCTCGATAGAATAAATTTGTAGCGATTGTATCTACCGAACAGATTGACGGCGTCAAGGATAGGCAACCAAAGTTGCATGTACGATTAACGTTGTTAGAGGCAGGGCTTGAAACCGAAAAAAAATTTTCCGGTTTCGGTTTCGGTTTCGGATA